CTTGAAGAATCAAACTTTGTGGTGAATAGGCATATGTATATTTTTCTCAAAAAAAGGCACAACTTTATTCTTACTAAAGTTCAGAGTAGGAAAGAAAATCATAGAAATGTTACCAAAAACAATTATTTTGTTCCAAACATTTAAAAAAAAACTGTTAAATGTAACTCTTTTAATATTAATTATAATAAGAACAATTTATTTATTTGAACTTTATGTAAATTTATAAAATTAAATTTATATTAGTTTTCCATGGTTTAGGTATTAGAAAATGAACTGATTTGTTTTTTTTTTAAAGCAAAATAAAAGTTAAAAAATAAAATCATTTTAAGCCATGCTTTTTTGTTTTGGGGGTGGTCTAGGCAAAATAAAACATAAAAATAAAACATTTTTTTGATATATTGATCATAGCAGAGAATTGGATTCCCCACGCAACTTTACTAAATCCTAACTGGAAAAAGAGGGAGTCTGAACAAGCTGTTCTTTTATTAATATTTTTTAGTAATACCTATAAAGAGAAAGTTTCTTTAGATATTTATGAGTGGAAGTCCCGGGGGGCATGGAGAGTTATCACATGGCCTAAGAAAAACCCTGATTGGCGTCCCTATTATTTTAAACTTTTCTATATCAGTGAAGGGCCTTATGTTTTTACATAACTTTTCTTTGGCATCCCTTGGACATCTGCTGCCTGGGACAAATTGTCATGCCACTAGTCATGTCAATGATATTGATCATTATTATTTTTGTTCAACTTCTATTTTGCTTTAATTATATTGTTTTAAATGCTTAAAAGTTTTAATTTATGACTAGCATGTTCAGCGCCCCCTTATCACCCGAATATTACATGGGTGGTTGGCCGTAAAATATTTACAATATTTTACAACATTTTTATAAGCCTTAAAGATTAGACTTGAACCCATTTTTGTTACATGCTTTATTTAACAAAAGGTTATGTATTCGCACAAAAATACCCAATTTTATCCATTTTTAAATATTAAAGACCAAATCAGTTTTATGTTTTTTTAATTTTTTTTTTTTTAATGTGTTTAGTTTTATACATTAGATCTTCCACGCCTATACCAATTTTTGTTTTTGAAAATTTTGCTCTGTGGAATTGCCCTAATATATATATATATATATATATATATATATATATATATATATATATATATATATATATATATATATATATATATATATATATATATATATATATATATATATATATATATATATATATATATATATATATATATATATATATATATATATATATATATATATATATATATATATATATATATATATATATATATATATATATAAATATATATATATAATTTAATGTCATATATAATATATATTAATGTCAAATAAATTTATTTCAGTTACAACTTTAAAATATATGTTGAATACATAACTTTAAAATATATATAAATTATTTCATAGCTTTAAAAGTACTATTTTATAGCTTTAAAGTCTTTTGTGGAAGTCAAATTAAAAATTTTACTCAAGTTATTTAAAAAAAAAATTTTGAAACCAAAAAATGTGTTACACTGTGTAATTTGTTAAATGAATATCCCAATCTGCTTTTTCTTCATGTTGGACAAGCGCATTTGTTCATACAAATTTTTCATCAGGTTTATCAAAATTATAATTAACATTATTAAATCACTAACAAATATTAAAAACTTTTTGTCACATTAGAACATCAACAATCAAGCTGATTTTTTGAAAAACTTTTGGTCACAAAAAAAATACTTTTTAACAATCAACTTTTTTGTTTATTACCAATTTGCTGAAATAAATGACTAGATATTAAAGATTGATTTTAAAATATAAAAATACAAGATCTTTTACAATATTTTGTTTTCAAAGTAACTTTATGTCATTAGAATCTAATCTTTTGTAAAATTTCTCTGACCTACTTAATCTTTGTAAGACGAATATAAATTAAGTTTAATCTCCTGATCTCTGTGTAATCTTTAACTCTCAAAGATTCCTATAGTCACATGTTTGAATTTGGCATACACTTACATATCAATTTAACTATTTGTACTGAAATTAAACCCATCAAATTCTCTGACTGTTCTTTTATTATGCTGTTACTTAGCACCACTTCATTCTTTCTCTTTGTTCTTTACCGTGCTTTACTTTTTAAAAGTACACTCATTTTGGTGTATGATCAAATAGACCAAGCTAGCCATTCAACAGGTTTTTTTTTTTGTCTACATATTTATAATGACTAAACTAGTCGTATAGAGCTTAAAAAGACTTAGAAAATGAGGGGTCTTTTAACTTTAGAAGTTAAGTGGATCCAAAGTTATTGCATTTTTTGTGCTGGAAAAACTGATGATTTTTAGACAAAACACTTCATACTTGAGTATGGAAAATTTGCTGTGAAATGGCACCAAAACAAAATCAAGCGGAAAAATCAAAACAAACAATATGCAAAGGAAAAGATATATACTAAACATCATTTTAAAAAAAAATTCTTCAGTAACAATTTTTCAAAAAAACATAATTAAATACTTGGTTTTAATAGAGAAAAAGCTATACTTGCTTTTTTTACATAATCTTTTAAAAAAAAAATTTTCTTAATAAACCAATATTGAAGGTTTTAAAAGCTAAGAACTAAAAAATTATGTATAAATGTTAAAAAAGTTCCTTATTCCATTAGATTCTTTTTCCTTTTTTTCAACAAATTTGTTTTCAAACAATTTTGACATGTTTTGGTACTTAATCATCATTCACATTTAAAAAATTCTTTTGAAAAAACATTCGTGCAGCAATTTTTTTTATCAATAGTGATCCTAAGACATGAACAATATGTAAGAGAAGCCATATAAAACATAGTATTTTCAATATATGGTTGGAAAGAAGTTGATTCAAATCAATTGATGCAAAAGTGTGGATTTGCTAACCAAGCCTATTTCTTTTATCTATCTAGCAATATTGCTATTATTGGTGACTTTAATGCTTATTACACTGAATCACTTGGGCTTTAGTACCACTGACTCTGCTGAGACTTAGGTGGTTCAGATAGTTTTATAGTCTTGCTACAACTTTTATTTTATACTTTATCTACATTAGATTCACCCTACCATCACACCTTTTTCTTCTACCATAAGGCATACTAGGATTCCTTTCATGACTTTTCTTACTAAAAATTGTGCCTTTTATGTAATCTCTTGGATTCAGAATAGCAAGGAAGTTTTTTATTTTCTTTATTGTTTTTAAATATATTTACTTTTCCAAGGTCAAGGGTGGTATATACACCATAGTTAAAAAGACAAAAAAATTTTCTGTTATTATATCCTCTGTGAATTGCTTAATTCTAAAACAGAAACTTTGACAAAGTCACTGCACACAAAAAACAAGTTCAGCGCCAAGCTTCCAAAATGTTGTCAATTTAAATTGACTAACTCTTGCTAACAAAGTAAGCGCTCTATCACTACACTACTAATTACTATGGTAACTATATAAATAAAAGACTTTATTATGCAATAGATATTAAAGGCTTTTGATAATGTCATGCTGGTCTTTTCCATAAGCTCTCTTTATATGGTGTATCTAGAAAAGTTTAAAAAATATTGAATCACTCCTTTATAATTGGATTGTTAAAGTCGCCATTGATGAACAACACTTATCTTCATTTTCATTAACTTATGGGGTTCCACAAAACTCCATCCTTGGTTCTATTTTATTTCTAATCTCTTTTAGAGATACAAAAGTTAACTCAAAACAATCATAATAACAATAATGATAATATTCTATAATTGATAAATGCTCTTAATTAGACCTTTAATTTAACAAAAGTTGAATTAGAGAAATAACATTACTTTCAAATCATCAATATTTTTTATAAGTTTTACACATTTTGTTAACTTTATTATAGATAAAATAAATCATTGATTTCAATAAGCTAAACAATTAACAGAATAGAAGTTATTATTTAGTTATTAGTTTACAATTACTCACTAATTAAACTATTCTAAAAAAGTTTATACTGGAATAAATTGAATGGAATCTAAATCACAAATAGAACGGTAACCTATGATTTAACCTAATTTTAAAATTTCTAAAAACATAGAGTCTACCGACTTTGATTTTCAACCAACAACTTTTGATTTTTCAAATTTATTACTAATTAAAACATGAACACACTGAATTTTCAACCTACTGTATTTTCAACTGACTGTTTTTTACATCAAATCTATGACTTCATCTTGTTTTTTTGTATTATTTTTATTGATTTAAATTTTTATCAGTAAAACTGCAAAAAAAAAAAAAAATTACAGTAAAACAATTTAAGGTTAATTAATCTCAAATCCGTTGAATATCAAAAACTATAATTTGGTCAAAAAATATATTGGTCTCAAATGAAAATGACAATATTGGTTGAAAATTTAAATGACTTTAATTAAAAAAAAAAATCAATTAAAATGAAATCAGTTGAAAACAATTTAGGTTTCAGTAGGACTAAAAATTACTTCCACTTTTTAGTAGATGTTATTTTATGTAGGTTGAACATTTGTGTAAACTATGTGACATAAATTGAACACCCTGATTACATTTACTAAACATCACTTAAATAAATTTATTAAAAAATAAAATTTGATTGATAAATAAAAATATAATAAAAAGTATATAAATAGTTTAAAACATTTTTTGTTAAGGATTTTAACTAAAAAATAGGATGACAATAACTTTTTTTATTATTATTCAAATATTTCCTTTAATTAAACTGAAAAACTAAAACAAATAAATAACAGATTTGTTATTGTTTATTAAAAAAACAAAACAATTAGAAGTTAATAAAGTTATAAAACAATGAAAACATGTTTCATCTAAAGAAATACCTAAATAATAGATTCCTTTTTTTGTTTAACAAAACAAAAAATTGTAATTTATGTTTTGTTAAACAAAATCTTTTTTAAAAGAGTGGTCCAACCAAAAAAAAATCATGATTAACTAAGAAAACATAGAAATAATTAACTTACCAGAAATTTGGATGATAGCACCTTGGTCAAATAAATCTTGTAATACAATCTTGTTTTCAGTTGAACACACACTTCTTAACAGTCTTATGCAAAACCTCATCTGAGCTTTCTTTCCCCCTCGTCCTCCCTTTCCATAAAAACAGTTTCCGTGACTATTATACTCAGCTGGAAAAAATATTCTTGTTTATTTAACTAATCTCAAAAGCAGATTAGAACTTGTTTACAAAATATGTTTATAAAAGAGAAATTAAAAATAAAAAACAAATTTAATATTAAGTTCATTTATTTTAATACTAATATTATTTTGTAAAAGTTTTTTAAATATAATTTAAAAATGTTATAAAAAATGACTGTTATAAAAATCCAAAAAGTAAAAATACCTGAACTGACACACCATTCAAGAAACAATAAAAGCCTTGTATTTCCTTGCAAACTTATGTATTCTTCTATAGAATAAGGAACAAGTGAAGCAAGTACTGCCATTGCTTGCAATTGTATTTCTTCGAACTCAGTAATTGACCAAATGCTATCAAGTGGTAAGATAATTGGTTTTGCATATGTAAAAAGTGCAGCCATCACATGATAATCAGATAAGATTTTGGCACATGCTTTATCTTTGCAGAACAAGACAAGTGATATTATTAGTTGCTTTTTGAACTCAAAATCTTCTTGGGATGAAACAATTTTAATGTTTTGTACAAGATCTAAGCGACTTTCAATTTCAGGATAAGAAACCAAAATAGAAATTGTTTTCAGTAGTTGAGAATTTAAAATTTGAGAAGCAGACGAAGCAGAAGCAGCGTATAAAATAACAATAAGAATATCATTTCGCAATTGTTTATCTGAATTACTGATGCAATGGGAAACTTGATAAGTAAAAACTTGGTGGATTACACTAAAAACATCATTAGAAATATTAATTCAATAAACAAAATTATTTTTAAAAGTTATACTAACTTTATTGAAACACTAACCTTAGACCAAAGTCAGTGCAAACTTGTTTGGTTACCTAAATAATAGTTTAACTATTCATAATAATAAATAAAATAAATTAATAATTGGTTACCAAACTCTTTGAAAAAATCTATCATTATTTAATACCATATGCACACTAATTTCACTTTACTTACTATTGACAAAAAGAAACTTCTATTCTCAATTTTAATAATTAAAATTTGTTAAGCCTTTTTTAATAATTAAACTTTGTTAAGTAAATTTCAACAATAAAAAGATAAACCACAATTGAAATTATGTCATTTTATTATAACTTCTAGGTAACAAAAAAATTCTTTTACAAAGCACACAGTTTGCTGCTTTTGCATTTTATGGGATTAACAGAATACATAATTTTTCATAAAAATATAAAACTAATTAATAATGAAAATATGATATAAGAATTAAAATATGATACAAGCATAAAAACTATACTTTAAATTCAAAATTCTAATACCTTACTTGGTTACGTGCAATTACACTTGGTGATGTGCAATTACAATAAGAAATTAAAACTTACATTATAACTAAAACCAAAATGCAAACTGAAACTGAAACAGCGAAAACAAAAACATTTTTTGTGCAATTTTTCTTATACAAAAAATGAAAACATTTTTAAATTTATATTTGCTTTTTTTTTTTAAATATTTATTATGGTATTAAAATATATTAACTTATGTAACATGATTATTAATAATTATAATTCATGAAGCTGAAGCATGATTGATGAAAATATTTTTTTAAATTGTATTACAATAGTTTTTATACTTTACTAGAGACACCAAAAACTAGAGACACCAAAAAAAATTAAATACTATCATTTTTAGTATTTTATATGGTGTATCATATAAATGGTGTCTCTTTACTAGAGACACCATATATATTTAATTTTATTCAATAATTTTTTTCTTTTATTCCATAATTTTTTTCTTTTATTCCATAATTTTGCATATTACAATTGTTAAAGAGATTGGTATATACTCGTATTTATACAAGCATTTATTCCCTTTTTCTTTGTATATTGGTGTCACATATCGCCTTCTTTGGTGTCATCCATAAATGATGTCAGTAAATACAGGGAGGAGGGGGTACTAAAAAATTTGACAAGAATTGACAATGGGGAAGGGGGTGTTAAGACCAAAATGATGTCAAATTAGGAAAAAAAAATTCCAATTAGTACAAGCAGATTTTAAAGGTATTTACACCTACAATGTGAACAATATAGAAATGGCATATTTGCTTTGTGGGGACTTCGATGTAAGTTTCCTAGTGACATGAAATAAATTAAAAATTTACCAACGTTTTATTATATTACCATTTGACTGAAAATTTAAATGTTTACAAATATCAACAATTTGTACATAAATTTAACAATCATTATTTAATTCCTAGCGGATTAAAAAATGTACTTCAAAGCAACCACATAAAGTCATTTGTCATTGCTTTAAATACAATTATCATTATTATTGAAGATCGCTTCTACAGCTCATGGGAAGATGATGAGTAATTGAATTTATATTATAGATATAGAATAAAAATTTGATTAGTTTGTTCATTATTTGATGAGGTATCAACTGTTCTATAATATAACTTGCTGAGAGGTATCAACTGTTCTATAATATAACTTGCTGAGATATTATAAGTTGTATAATTTAACCAAAAAAAAATCAATGGTTTTAACACATATTTTTATTGTTACTTTAGGGGGGAAGAGGGTACAAAAACTGACCTCATATATAAGGGAGGGTCGGCCAAAAATTGACAGTTTGACAAAAGGAGGAGGGGGTCAAAAAATTTAGAAAAATCACTGACATCATTTATGGACAGCCGCTTTGCCAATATTAAAATGCCAGATATTATACCTAAAATTATTATACATAAACTTTTTTTAAAAATCTTCCATATCTATCAAGTTGACCTTTTAACCAATAAAAAAAAAAATTTATTGCTTAAAAGTTTAATATGCGTTGTGAACCATTTTGTTGATGCGCATCTAGCAGAGAAGAGTTTGGGTACTCCTACTTTACAATGGGATTAATTTTGTACTCTTCATGTTGTTTCTGCCACTTTATGGTCACCTTTAATATAGTTTGAAATGAAAGTGTTTTTGATAGAGCTAGCAAGTGGAGGACCAATGTTAATTTCCATAACTCTGTAGGGACAGTCAGCCAGTACCAGATCTAAAGTATTTTGGCTAAATGTAGGCTTTGAGATATACTGTGCTAAGCCAGCAGTGTTGAGAGACTCCAAGAATTTAATGCTTGCTTTAGTTATTTTTTGTTTTTTGTTTTGTTGTGCTGCTACCAGCAGCTCTCCATAGTATGTCAGGGTAATTAAAATCATCAACTATTAGAAGCACTATACCTCTAATCTTAGCTATAATTGTTAATTGATTATATAGTTAACTGATTTACTTTCTTGTGTTCTTAATTGTGGAGTGCTCTCTGTAAATGCACCTGATGAAGAATTTTATACATTTGTATATACCATATCTGACCTGGCATTGTGTTATAAATCTCAATGCTGTCAAAAGTAGGTACTGCAACTGCTACAAGGAAAATTTAATGTTGCTACTCTAGCAACAAGAGTTTCTAACTTATTACATAGTGATGATGAACTAGTGTGGAAACAGGTGATTTTACTTACTGGCATACTTTACTTGTAGTACAGTTAGTATTTCTTATTTCAGGTAGTATTTCTTTTACTGATTGATTGTCATTATGCTTGTCAACAAACCCCTTAGATAATTCAATATTGCTGAGAATAATATTGTTATCAATGAACTTGCTTTCATCCAGTTCCTGCTTTAACTTAATGACTACAATTATCTCTTCCTTGGTTTTATTTATATTGAATACAGAGACAAATGTGGCTAATGACTGTATAATTGGAAAGCTGAAATGTCCAGAGAGCTGTGATTTTAGCCAAATACTTTTGCTTTTTCTCCTTTCAAAATTGCTAAAACATCTTGTAAAAATATATAAAGACAGTTTTCACAAACTTGGGTTTAATACACCTGAGTAAAATATAAATTTTTATTAACTTATCAAAACAAATCTTTCATTGTGTTTGGCAAACTTAATGAATCAAGCCTAAACAATATGAGAGCTTGTTTAAGTCAGGACATGTTTTAGTCAGTTTTAGTAAAAGATCATTTTTAAAAAGTTGTAGATAAAAATGCAAGATTGTTACATCTAAATAAAAAGGGATGGAAGGCAAAAACAGACATTGAGTGCCCACAAACTGACAAGACTCAATAAATAGAGATTAAGATAAATATGTATTGTTTCCAGCCCCTTGTTCATGTACATTATTATGTCCATGTCTTTGCAAACTTTTAAGTAATGTAAACTTAACAATATAACTTCTCATGAACTAGCTTTGTTATAGCTCTCTTAGTCATGACAACAATTATTTTTTTTATATAGTCATAATACTTGATAAATATCAAGTATTATGACTATGACAAATAAAGATAAATATCAAAATTTCTTTTTTTTTAAGATTTTTATTATTTTTTATTTAATTATATCTTTAATTATAACTACCATTTAATTAATAGATAACTTTGTCTGAGACTAAATTATATTCTCTTTATTTGTTTGAGACTAAAATTCACTAAATTTTATGCTTGTATCATTATAATAACAATGAGAAACTTGTAGCCACCATATTGAATTTTTATTATTATTGAATTTACAAATTATAGCCACCATATTGAATTTTTCTCATGTCTAAAAGCTTTTATTCAATATAACATATACTGACTCTCACAACCTCTAAACTTTATGTTTATATCATATAACTTGAATAATTTTTTTCTGAACTAAAATGAACAATAAAGTTTCTTTTTATTATGATAAACTCAAATTGAAAGCAACACAATGCAATACAATATTATATCATAGTTGACTAACAAATTTAGTAGAAAGACTATTACATTAAAAACCTACTTCTTCTTGATTTCCATTTTCAAAGAGATTCCAGAGAAATCCAATCTCAACAAATGCAGATCTAGTGATAACAACTTTTCAAAATTATAAATGAAGTTTTCAAGTGTGCTCCTTATTTTATGATTAAAGTTATTATAATAAAAAATAAAATGATGAAGATAAAAAAGTTATAGCAAGCTTTATGAAGAATAAAGGGTTTTAATAGGGAATAGTAATGTTATAATCTAGAAGGATCAACTAAATAATTTATACTTCACAATTTATTTGAGAACTGTTTATGAAAATTTTTTACATCTTTATTTAGATATATATATATATATATATATATACATATATATATATATATATATATATATATATATATATATATATATATATATATATATATATATATATATATATATATATATATATATATATTTGTATTTAAAACAAAATAAACCTGTTGTTTAAATTCATATCAAACAAAATTTTGCAAAGTAGATTTCCCATATCAGCTTTTATCATACCATCACAGTTTTGAGCTAAACATTAATATGTAATTTGATAAAAACTTATAACTATCACAACTAATGAAAAATCATATATACATATATATATATATATATATATATATATATATATATATATACATACATACATACATACATACATACATATATATATATATATATATATATATATATATATATATATATATATATATATATATATATATATATATATATATATATACATACATACATATACATATATACATATATATACATTGTATATATATCAGGGGCTATTCTAGACCATTTTCGATAGTGTCAACCAATATTTGGGCGTTGATTGAAAAAAAAAAAAAACAGCCTCAAATTGAAATTTGAGGATCTTTTTTTTTTTTTTTACGTTTTTTTTTTTATTTTTATGGCAAATATTGTTTTTTTTTGCAAAAAAAACACAGATTTTCTGCTAAAGTTCGCCAGAACAAGGGGGTACTGCTGCCCAATTTTTTTCCAAGAATACACTTTGTATATATATATATATATATATATATATATATATATATATAAACATATATATAGATATAAACATATATATATATATATATAAACATATATATATATACAAACATATATATATATAAACATATATATATATATATATATATATATATATATATATATATATATATATATATATATATATATATATATATATATATATATATATATATATATATATATAATATATACATATATATATATATATATATATATATATAATATATATATATATATATATATATATATATTTAAATATATGTATTTATGTATGTATACATTTTGAAGTTTCTGCAAATGAAAAACATTAATTACAGTCAAGAAAACCATACACTTTTCTTTTTTTAAATTTTTTTTTATTTTAACACTAGTTTTTTTAGTCTGAATTTAACTGTACATTACAAAAAGAAGTATATAATACACAGTAAAGTATAGATATATATGAAACTTACATGAATCAGAAAGTTTGAAAAGAGATAAAATGATGTCATAACTTGTTTCAATATGTGAAACTTTTCCTAAACACTGATAATATTTTTATTTTTATTAGTTTTCATTTCAAAACATAAATTTATTTAAATTATGAAAAATGTAAACTAAAAAATCTTATACTAACCTTAACTATAGATGTACAAACAGTGCTCAAAGAAATTGCTGATTTGACAAAATTTGAAGAAACAACATCAAGATCTAATAAGAAAAAAGTATATAAACAATATGATCCTTTCTAACTATTTGTTATAATTTTATTCAAATTAACACCTGCTCTCAATATTGATAAATTGAAAGCCATACTTTAGTTAAAAAAACAACATTTCTTTTATATAATTTGCCACTTGTCTAGTTGTATTACTATTCCGTTTAAACTCTAACCTATATGCTTACTATTGTCCAAGCTTCCAAGCTGTGAAAGTATAGAATTACATATATAAATTTACCTCACCTCCTGATGTATCAAATTCAGATGATGCTACATACATATAAGCAATCGCCTTTGAAATGGAAGATTTTATTAGGTCAGAAGAGAGCTCTGCTATTTCTCCTAAATTTAAAAATATAGTAAAAATTGTCTATTTACCTATTAAAATTGTCTATTTTGATGTAAAACACATCTTAAAAGCTTATTAGAAGAAAACAATAAAAACTGTTAAAAATTTATGTTTCGTCATTTGAAGGACTATTTGGAACTTTTTTTTTTTTGACCTTTGAAGAAGTAATACAAAGTAAAAGTTGCTTTAAAATGTAGTACAATTAAAATCTTTTAATAAAATTTTACATAAAGTCTTTGTTACAACTACCAAAGTGCAACAAAGACTTTTTGCAAAAACTTTATTGTTTCTGCGAATGTGATTAAATCACATTGGTAGAAACAATTTTTAGCAAAGAGGTTTAACTTTTCTAACGTGGTAATAGTAGATGAGACATTCTATGCACTGGTATTAAAATGACTGTCAGAGAATAGAATCTCTGCACTTAAACAAGGTTTGAACTAACATTCTGTTTTTCACTATATATTTTAAAGCTGTTTTTTTTTTATAATAAGCTAATCGTACAGTTCAAAATTATAAATTAAAGTTTTTTTATCAAAAACAAAAATGCTATCTTTAAAAAAAATGGTATTACTTGAAGTTAATGATATTATAATCAATGTAAATGTTTTTTTTAAAAGTAAGGTTATCTTGTTAGGTTGATAATGTTAACAACAGTTAAATGTAGTTAAAAGTATGTGTTATTTTATGTTCAAAAACAAAGTTTTAAAATAAAAAACCAAAAAACTGATGTGTCAACTATCACAGATATATAGAAATCAAATATATCCAGAAATGTCAGGTATTGCATACAGTGCAACTATAATGACCACAATAGTGCAACAGAAATTGCACATTGCAGAACTGAAAATATATATATATATATATATATATATATATATATATATATATATATATATATATATATATATATATATATATATATATATATATATATATATATATATATATTAAATTACATATGTTAAAATTATTTAAATTTAAAATTTAAATAATTTTAACTTTAATAATTTTAAATTTAATTAAAGTTAAAATTTTCTCTAAAGATAGTGACTTTGTTTTAGACTTCAATTCAATAATATGAAAATTACACTAAAAGATATGCAGTAATAGAAAAGTATTAATATACATTCTAAGAATAGCTAAACAATCAAAAACAAAAAAGCCTAAAAGAGTATATTAGTAAGTTTCAAAAAAAATGATGTGATCCTAATGTTTATTGCTATGTAACCAATATCGAAAAAAATTTTAAATCCACCATAAAAAAGTTGAACGAAACAAAACAAAGCCTTATATAAGGCATTGTGAAATCAATTAAATTAATCATATATTTCAATTACTGTTAAAAACCATTATCTATTAGGCTAGCATAGATGTAATCCTGTGTTACATTGTTTCCTGCCTAGGATGATGGATACTGGATCTTGACTCTGCTCATAGATTTTTGCTTGTGCCTTCTTAATAGTAGCTATGCAACTCTTTCTGTTATTTCCTAGTGAAGGTACAGCTCTAAAACTCAATTTAATGGTCATGAAGCTGGCTGGTAGTAAGGTTACTGATCTCTGTGTTAGTTCTCAGAAAAGCTGATTCTATCAACAGCTGAAAAATATCAGAGTATTACCAGTGCCATGTTGCGCATATAGGGTACCCCTGTTAATGTTTTTGGTGTGCAATGTCAAGGCAACATAAGGATCCCTAAGTTATGACTTTGGGTTAGTTAATGGGACTGAGACAATTGGATAGCTCATTGCTTGATCACATGTCATCCTCGAATTTAAATTTAAATAAGGCTGTTCTTTTTTCAGATCTCAGTAGTGATAGGTACTATACTCTAATTTGACTTTAATTATCACATTCTTGGCTTGGGCATATATTTACCAATCAATTCACCTATTTGTGGATAAATCAGGTTTGAATCCCTTAACCATTTTTTTATGTGCTTCCGGTTAGCACCTTTCTCTTTGTTCTCTATCATTCTCCTTCTTATCAAGACTACACTCTTTTAGATGTAATTTCTGATCACATCGGCCCTTTTTTTTACCCTTCTGCCAATATTGTTGTTATTTGTGACTTTAATGCTCATTACACTGAATAGCTTAGCTCTAACACCAATAACCCTGCTGGTACTAAAGCCTATAACTACATTTCTCAATCTCTTACTTAAATAGTTAATTTTGTGACTTGTTTTCTAGACAACCCTAATCAAAACCCTTAACTCTTCGATTTGTGTCTTGTCTCTGACCTAGCCAGGGCATATTTTAGAAAAATAATTTGGTTGGCAGTACTCCCTGTGCCTTTGCCTGTGATAAAGAAATTTGGCAGAAATATTGCTGTATGTAGGCATCTTTTCATGAAATAATATTTGCCATATATATAAAAAAAGGTTCTCTATTTCTAAATTTGGCTAGCACCCAATTATGGTCTGTGCTATCAAAAACAGTCTAGAATAGCCCTTGCTAGCTTGTGGTCAGTTTCTCTATTTTCTCCCTTAGGTGGTTTTGACCATGCAATGATTTCTATAAATATTTTATTTTTTACTTCTTCTTCAAACTCACGTTATTATAGCACTACTTACTACTACCCTAAAGCTGACTGGGATTCTTTTCATGATTTTCTTTCTGATAGCTCTTGGGCTGATGCCTTTTCTCTCTCCACTCCAAATCTAATCGTAATCATTTTTTTCATCTTTTTCAAAAGTATTACTCTCTTGAGAACAAACACCTATTTCTTATTGCAAGAAAACAATGTAAAAAGCCTGACGCTAAGCTCTATTATTGTCAGTCCATTGAATCCTTTATCTTATTTCAGAAGTTAGGCTCTAGAGACTTTTGGAAAAGGTTCAACAGCGCCATTAACTAAGGTAGGTCTATCATTCCATCTCTGATTCATGAGAACAATCTTATTACCTCAACCAAGGATAAGACAGAACTATTAGAAAAGAAACTTTCTTTTTTTTTTTTTATTATTTGCATTCACTCACAACAAGGCTGCAAGCGACCACTATTAAGTTGGGAGTTACTAGGATAAAAAAGAACAGAGTTAAAGAGCAAGGAAACGGTTGACAGAAGACTTGAAAAGTTGAAGGTTGTATGAATCAGGAAAACATGAAGATGGGAGAGAGTTCCAAAGGATTGAAGTGCGGGGAAAAAAACTAGATGAATAAAAGTTTTTAGAGCATGCAGGGACAGATACAGTAAACTAATGAGACTTAGCTGAATGACAAGTAAAACGAGAATGAATTTTAGTTGATGGAACTAGAGATTATAACTCCTTTGAGCTGTGACCATGATAGTATTTGTAGAAGAGAGAAAGAGATGCAACTTTACAACAATGGGAAAGAGGTTTAAGCTTAGCAGATAGTCCAGGTCCAACAACATTTACAATGCGTTTTTAGACCTTGTCAAGAAGAGAAAGTGAATCGTTAGAAGAACCAGCCCAAATATGACAATAGTATTTCATACAGGGACAAAGAAGAGATTTGTAGAGGTAGAGAATGGAATCAGAAGTAAGGAAATGGCGAGCACGATAAAGAGAAGCAACCTTAGCAGAAGCTAATTTAGCAATTGATTGTATATATGGTTTCCATAAAAAGTCAGTAGTAAGCGATAATCCAAGAAGACGTAAAGAGGAAGACTCAGTAAGAGCATTGTCATTAATTAATATAGGAATGTTGACCATATTACGGTAGTTGTTTGCAGTAAACAACTGGGTTTTGTTAGAGTTGAAATTCACAAGCCACTGTGAACCCCAATCTATTACTGAAGTGAGATCGGATTCAAGATCAGCTGCTTGTTCTAGACGATCGAAAAGAGAAGACTTTTTGTCAAGACAGGAGTATAAAGTTGAGTCATCAGCAAAAGGAGCTACTTTAGATGAAAGGTTGTCAGAAAGATCGTTTATGTAGATAAGAAACAAAACAGGGCCCAGGATGGAACCTTGGGGAACCCCAGAAGTTACTGGAAATAAAGAAGAGTGTTGGCCTTCAAGGATGACTTTAATAAACCGGTTAGAAAGAAATAATTTGATAATCTCAAAAACTTTCCCAGAAACACCATATGAAGCAAGCTTATGGAGAAGACCAGCATGCCAAACTTTGTCAAAAGCTTTAGATAAGTCGTTTAATTTCAAGATGTGTTTTAATTTGATTCTTGAATCTTAAGCCCATACTCTTCCTTCCTTCTTAATTAAACAGATTAACCCAATGTTAGACATCAATATCACTCCAGATTCCGTTGCTAAAGTCTTATATCAATTAAACTCTTTCAAAAGATTGTGGTTCAGACAACATTTCTGTCATAGTCTTACAAAAGGGTTCTCCAGAACTCTCTTCATTTTACTATAAACTACTTAACAAGGGCTTAACTGAATCTTGTTTTCCAGGAACAATCATCTCTAGTTCTATCAACTAAACCCTGCATGCTTTAAAAACTTATATTCATCCAGTTTTATTCTGTGCACTTTAACCCTTTGGAACTCTCTCCAATCTTCATGTTTTCCTGATTCATACAACCTACAACTTTTTTTCTGTCAATTGTTACCTCGCTCAATAACTCAATTTTCTTTTTCTTTTTAATAACTTATTAAAAAGTTATTAGTGGTTGCTTGAAGCCTTGTTGGGAGTAAATCAGAACAAAAAAAAATTGTTATTAATTACATTTCTATAAAAACTTTATAGAAATGGAGTCACTTATATTTTCTACTTGTTTTTACATTTGTGAAATTTCTGTAAACTTCACAAATGTAAAATTTCTTTTGTAAGATTTATTTTGTCTAATTGAAACTTGATGCAAATATAATTAAAAAATTTGCTTATAAAACCACAACTAATCTAAAAATAAATCATGACCTTTCTGGATGAAATATATTGCTATCTGATGAGATCTTAATTATTAAAGAACAATTGAGAATGAGATATTACAAAATTTTGATTAATTTAAAAATAGGATGGGTATTTAAAATTATTATGTGTACATATTGCTCAGTAATCAGTACTAATATAAATAATTCTAATAATTTTTAAAATTTATTACCATTTTAATAAAATATTTACTTCACAAAACTGATGTCAAAGTGAGAGAAACATTACTAAGAAACTGAAAACTCTAAAAAATCATACCTAAAGTGTTTAAACACTCAGCTGTTTCTTTTGCAAATTTTTCTTCATCTGACACTTTCTGCTTTAGCAAAGGCTTTCTATATAAAAATAATATGTATAAAAAAATTAAATAAGAACAAAAAAACTAACAAATAATTAATACACTAACTAAATAATATAATAATATATAATAACAAATAATATAATAAACAAAGGCTTTCTATATAAAAAAAAAGTTATATATAAAAAATTAGATAAAAACAAAAAAACCAACAAATTTTTTGTTTTGCTTAATAAATGTCCTTCTTACATATTATTATTTTAGCTAAACATACTTAACTACCCAAATTTTAGGAAGCCAATATAATGGAAATCATATAAAGTTAATATGCTTTAAAGCAACAAAATATTTTAAAAAAATTAGTGCTATATATAGGCTGATGATAGGCTAATGATAAGCTGATGATAGGTTGATGATAAGCTGATGATAGGCTGATGATAGGCTGATGATAGGCTAATGATAGGCTGATGATAGGCTGATGATAGGCTGATGATAGGCTGATAACGTTTTAAAATTGTAGTATTGCACTACTCAATGTACATACTAAAGTCTCTGTATATGGCCTTGATAAAAAAAAAGGCATTTGTTTGGAGCAACAAGTTGATTGTGGTTCTTCTAGGAAATTTTTAGGGTTTAAACCAGGTCATAAAAAATAAAAAATAATTTTTCAATTATAACTTTATAATGTTACTATTCAAACATTGTGTATAAATCAAAAAATATTCAAACAAAAGAATTGAAAAAACAAATTATAAGTTTAAAAAGTTGATTTCTAAATATAATTGTAAAATTGAGAGCATTGCAAAAATGAAACAAAGTCAGAATTCTTATGAAGCTGAACTTAAATTGTGAGTGGTCAAATTTGCTGAGGTTAAAGGTAATACAAAAAAGAATATAACGTCAATGAGAAAATGGTTCAAGACTGGCAAAAATATAAAAGAGCTTACTGAAATACCAAAAACCAAATGTGTAAAACGAGGAAGTGTTGCATCATTTATTGATTTAGAAAATGAGCTTTTCGATTAGACTTTGGAGAGATAACAAAATGGATTTATAGTTGCAAGTGGATTAATTTTTTTTGTGTTCTTTAACTGAAAAAAAGTGACCAACACTAAAATGCATGGTTTTTAATCAACCTTTGGACATAACATTTAGGATAAAACAAATGAAACATTAACTTTATGATTTTATTATTTTACAAACATTTATGAGATTATTGCCTTAACTATTAGGCATGACCTCACTGATGTCATTATATTGTACATTGCACTAAGTCTCCATTCTCAACCTGCTTTTATGACAGCAAAGCAGCAATTGTATTTAAAGGTTATTGCAGTTGATCTTAAAAATCAAACTTAAAAAAGTCTGTTATATTATATCTATTATTGTCTGATGTATAAATCTGTTTGATACTAAGCTCCATTATTCTCAGTGTACTGTATCTTATCTCACTGTTAAAGATTTTCCAGCAACTTTTGCAAAATCTTTAACAGTGTCATTTACTAAAGCATGTATAACATTTAATCTCTAATTCATGGTCTGATCATATTACTTTTTCTCCAGAAAAGAGAATCTTGAATCAAAAGGCAATACTCTTTTAGCCATTTCAGTTAAACAGATTAACCTATTGTTAGACATCAAATCGCTTTGGCTTCCAATGCTTAAGTCAATTCTCAATTTTAATCTTCTAAAGCTGTGTTTCAGAAAACATTTCCATCATAGTTATATGAAAGTGTTCTCCAGAATTCTCTTCAATCCTTGCTAAACTATTATTATAAATAAGTGGTTCCAAAATTAAAAAACTTTAGTAAACACTTTGACCTTTCTAACTATCTTTCGATTAGTCTTCTCTCTAGTTCAAAGGCCTACACCCTTTTCATTTCCAGTAACTTTAGGAGGTTCTATCTTTGCTCCTATTTTTTTATCTACAATAACAATCTTCTTGACAATCTTACACCTAAAGTGGCTCTATTTGCTGACAACTCAACATTATACTCTTGTCTTGACATTTTCATTTGTTTAGAACAAGTGATCAAAAGTAGCCTGTTTGTGCTAAGCAATCAAAAAGTCTTCACTTTTTAATTGCTTAGCAACAAGTTGCTGATTTTTAATCTGATCTCTCTTCTGTAATATTTTAGGGAAGCAGTGGCGTGAGGATTTCGATTTTAGGGAAGCAGTGGCGTGAGGATTTCGATTTTAGGGAAGCAGTGGCATGAGGATTTCGATTTTAGGGAAGCAGTGGCATGAGGATTTCGATTTTAGGGAAGCAGTGGCGTGAGGATTTCGATTTTAGGGAAGCAGTGGCGTGAGGATTTCGATTTTAGGGAAGCAGTGGCGTGAGGATTTCGATTTTAGGGAAGCAGTGGCGTGAGGATTTCGATTTTAGGGAAGCAGTGGCGTGAGGATTTCGATTTTAGGGAAGCAGTGGCTTGAGGATTTTGATTTTAGGGAAGCAGTGGCTTGAGGATTTCGATTTTAGGGAAGCAGTGGCGTGAGGATTTCGATTTTAGGGAAGCAGTGGCGTGAGGATTTCGATTTTAGGGAAGCAGTGGCATGAGGATTTCGATTTTAGGGAAGCAGTGGCGTGAGGATTTTGATTTTAGGGAAGCAGTGGCGTGAGGATTTCGATTTTAGGGAAGCAGTGGCGTGAGGATTTCGATTTTAGGGAAGCAGTGGCGTGAGGATTTCGATTTTAGGGAAGCAGTGGCGTGAGGATTTCGATTTTAGGGAAGCAGTGGCTTGAGGATTTCGATTTTAGGGAAGCAGTGGCTTGAGGATTTCGATTTTAGGGAAGCAGTGGCGTGAGGATTTCAATTCCAACAAAAAATTAGTTATTTATTGCTAACAACTATTATGATATTGTTGACATTCTTAGATTGACGAATAACCATCTGACTTATAGACTGTAAATGTAGAGCTGGAAAAAACCCACTTTTTATTATTTCAGAAATGACAATCATAATATGGAGATTTCCAGAAAATTTAAAGAAAATCATAACAAAGTTGTTTAAGATATTAAATTTTAGCAAAAAAATCTCATAATAATAGTTTTCAAAACTTAAATTGTAACAACAAAAAACCCAGAAATACTATTTCATTGGGTTTTTTAAAAAAACCCAAAAAACCCAAAATCCAAATATAGTTGGACCTGCTTTAACTTCCAAGTTTGAGAAACTCTTCCATTACTGTAAGGTTTCGCTGCTAAAATGAGCTTAATCTCTAGTTCCTTCAAACAAAACTCATTATCGCTTAGCTTGTCATTTAACAAAGTCACATCCTTTTATAATATTTATCCCCCCCCCCCTCCCAAACCAATTGGGAATTCTACGTTAAATGTGGTGCCATCAGGCTGGCTAACACCCTGATATAGATATACATTTATGTGTGTGTGTCTTATTTATAGCAGCTTTCATTAGTTTTAGTATATGTTTTATTAATTACAAAACAAACAAAAAAAACAAAAAAAAAAACTATACTATATTGAATCTTCAATAAAGCCTAACACTGTCATAGAAACCTAATGTTAATTCTGATAATCAAAAAAAAGTGTAAGAAATTATACAATTTACATAACCTTAAGGTATTTTAAAAATCAAAACTTCTACCACTTATTACAAAAAAAAAAAAAAAAAAAATGACAGAAATATAGACTTAAATATCAAGTTAACAATATACAGTTAAAAACAGCAAAGAAAGTATAGTTACAAGGTTTGTCATCTAAAAAGTTAAATTATAAATAAAGTAAGTCATTTCAATTGTTTCTTATGAGTTATATTATTGTTATGTTAACACAACAAAATACATTTAATATAAAGTTATTTGATTAAGAATACATAAAATTTTAAAAAATTAACTTTTTTAGTATAACAACTTACTTTAAAACATCACATAACATGCAAACAATAACTTCGTAGTAATTATTAACTTCTATTAATTCCTGACATTTCCAGAAAATATCAGTGAATAGCTGAAAATCTACTAAATGCTTAAACTACATTAAAGGAAATTATAATGCAATATATATATATATATATATATATATATATATATATATATATATATATATATATATATATATTTATATTTATATATACATATATATATATATATATATATATATATATATATATATATATATATATATATATATATATATATTATATAAATAGTATTTATATATACATATATATATATATATATATATATATATATATATATATATATATATATATATATATGAATATACATAGATGTATATATATATGCATATATAAATATATATATATGTATGTATATGCAAATTTATATATATATATATATATATATATATATATATATATATATATATATATATATATGTATATACATAGATGTATATATATATGCATATATAAATATATATATATGTATGTATATGCAAATTTATATATATATATATATATATATATATATATATATATATATATATATATATATATATATATATATATATATATATATATATATATATATATACATAGTAGTACATACATAGTAAATAAATACATACATAGTAGGTCTTAAGACTAGTCTCGAGACTCATATTTGACTGTCTTAGTCTTGGTCTTGGTCTTGAAGACCTGAAGTATTGGTGTCTTGGTCTTGGTCTTGGTCTCAGACCTTTACTGTCATATACTTCCTTGATCCTTACAAAAAATATTACAAAAGATAGATTAGTATTTGACAATAAATTGCTGATCACCGCAACTTTCCATTCTCATGAAAATTTGCACCTTGAAAGATGTTAGATTGTCAAAATATAAGTTGTGAAATCAAGTGATACATAGTTGTCTGTTTCAGTTTAAGTATTTAAATAGAATATGTAAACTTTAAATTTTAAATTTGTATTTTTTTCTGGCAATTGACAGAGCCAGCGCAAGAAGGTTTTTATGTGTGTGAGCGGGAGGGGCCTTACTTATTTTGAATCTCACAGACTACTGATTATTAAAAAAATTATAAGTTCTATTTGCTAACAGAATCTAAAATGGGATATAAAGGGTTCCAATGAGCCAAAAAAATAAAAATTCATTGAATGGGGGTGTCACACCCGACACATCCTCCCACTTTGTACTGGCCTTAGCTAATGACCTAGCATGTTTGCTATATGTGTGCGATGCTTGTGTATAAATGGTAAAATATTACATCAACTAAAGGCCTAAAAGTATACATACATTTGTGAGCATTATTGTGTTAGACTTTTAAGAATGCAAGTCTTGCTCTTGGTCTTGTAAAAATTTTCAAAGTCTTGGTGTAAGGTTAATTTTTTGATGACTTGGTCTTGGTATAGGCTTTAAAATCTTAAGCCTTGATCTTAGTCTTGATCTTGACCTTTACTGTCTTGACTACATCTCTGTATATATATATATATATATATATATATATATATATATATATATATATATATATATATATATATATATATATATATATATACATATATATATCTACTATAGTCTATTTAAAAGACAAATTTTTACTAGTTTTTCTACCTTTATAGAACAAAGTGTTTTCAGAAAAACAAAGAATAATGAAGGAAAGTGACCGGGATTGATATTTGACCGGGCCAGGTTTGATAAAATATAGCTGAGGCCAGGGCTGGGTTTGTGACCTGCATAAACATATATACATCCTAAAGTATATTTTTTAAATTCAAAATTCATGTTATATTTTGTATATATATGCATATATAAACATCATTATGATTAACATGATCATCATAATCATCATTACCATGATGATGATCATCATCATTATCATCATCATTATAATCATCATCATTATGCTGTTTCTCTAATATAAACAATCAGAGGTTTTTTTTTTCTGAGGTAAAGCTCATTTATAGAATATGTAAGGCAACCTCTTCAAATTTTCTTACTTCTACCACCACCATTTTCTACTGAAGTTGCTACTTCTCTACATACTGATAACCTAAATCTTTTCTAACAAAAGTTTTTTGATACAATGTTTTTTTTAATCTGTCTAAGATTATGCCCCTTTTTCTTGTCTTGCTAGAATCACACCACATATCCATAAGATCAACTTCTCTTTCGGCAAAATATACACCATATAAATACTAAAGTGTATATAATAATGAAAGGATATTGTATGCAAGCATCTATATAAATTAGGGATGTACCGAAGCTGCAATTTTGCCGAAGCCGAAACTTCGGCCGAAGCTTCGGCTTAAGTTATACGTAATTTAAAGCTCAATTTACTTCACCACGGTGATTTGAATAATCAAGCTGCTTTTAAAATTATATATCAATGTTTTAGGTTTGTATGTTTTGGCCTACAAGCCCATTTTAGGAAAATTATAAAACAAAAACAATATTATAAAAAACTTAAAGAAATTTTGTACAAAAATTTAGAGTGAAATTTAGAGTCTAAACTCTATATATCTAGCAGGTATAGGAAAGATTACATCACTAAATCTTAGACATTTATTTATACTTAAGGTAATCTATGGTCAATTCTTTGAAAGAATTCATAAAAATGTAAACATGTAAAATGTAAAAATATAAAAGTAGTCATTATTTTAATTTGAACATAAAATTTGGTATTTGTTTTAAATTTTGTTAAAAAGTTGAACCAGTTGAACTAAGAAGCTACAGCCTACTATTTAGTTAATAAAAATTTATTCAATGAAAGCAGGCATATTATAATTTAAAAATGCAATATGTTCCCCATGTTTGGTGATAGTCTGTTTCTTTTTGCTTCAAATATATTTCAAGATGTGCTAAATAAGCGTTCACTTTTTACAGATGAAGGAGGTGCGCACAAAACTTTCTTTGAAAACTTTGACAAACTCAACTTGTAAGTATCTTTATCAGAGCAAGTGTAATGGTATGCACTTCACCACTTATAAGGGCATTCATTTTTTGGCAGTATTGGAAGGCTTAAGTAGAAGTTGACTACATCGGTGCTGATACATAAAATATAGGTGATAATTTTAGGTTTAAACTTTTATAATATTACCCTTTAATCAACTAAACAAAATAAAAGAATGCTCTTATCCATCTTTTGAAATATAAAAAATGGAGATTAAGAGTTATTAAGAATAGAGATAAAATCTCATTGATAAATGATAATTAATATTGGTCATATGCAATCAAAAATTTAAAATGGCTATAGAAAATACAAAAGGAACATGAAATATAGAAAAGGATATAATTACCAATTTAACTTAAATAATTAATGTATAAACAATATAAAAATCATAAATAGATAATAATGTTTTCTCACCATTTTTCTTTGACAGTTAGAGTTTTTTCCATTAAACTAGTGTTTTTTCTCTTTTTTCTTCGTCCGTCCGAATTTTCTGAATTTTGTAAAGCATACTCATTTGCATCGAATTGGTGGAACAAGCTATATATGTCCATGCTCATTAGTTTTTTTTTTTTAATGGAGAGCCATGGCCATTAAAATCTGAGTCGGACTCATGAATTTTAGATTCTGAAAATGAACTTAATGATTTTTCTGAGTCTGATTCACTACCTTGCTACACCAAATTCAATTTCTTTTACTTGTTCTAAACATATTATAATTCTTGTCTTCAATAAACTTAAACTTGAAACGAGGATCAAGCATCATCGCAATTTTTAGATCAACATTATCCTTGTATTTTTGAGAACAACAGTTAAAATCTTTCATCAACAACAGTTTTGATTTCAGTTGCAGTGTCACAAGCGTAGTCTAGAAACTTTTCCATTGCATAGATAAATGGTTTAATCTTTGATATACATGCAGTTTCTTGACTCATGTCTTTTGTAGTACTTTCAAAGTGTTTTAACGTGCATACAAGCATTTCAACAAGTTGCCATTGATATTCAGTAGGATTTTTTGCATTTGTGTGATTTCTGGTAATGCAATACAATGTAATAGCTTTTTTCTGCTCAATGAACCTCTCAAGCATATAGCATGTCGAATTTCATCTGGTGGAAACATCTTGAATTACGTTATGCTCTATGCAATTTTATTTGACTTTGAATTTCTTTTAGTTTAGCCACAGCACTAGATGATTGGTTGAAATGTCCTGCTAATGCTCAAAAAACAGCGATTGCATCACTTGCTGTTCTTTGTTCTCTAAAGATCTTTTTCAGAATACAAAATTGTAAAGTATGTACCATACATAAAAGATATTTATCGCCCACATTTGACTCTTTAATGGCAGCCATTACATTGGGTGCATTATCAGTTAAAACTGCATGAATTTTTTCATGGGGAAATTCCCATGATTGTAGCGCTTCATTTATGAATTTACTTATATTGTGCCCTGTGTGAGACTCAGGGAAGTGTGTAACTTGTAAGATGACATGTTTAACTGTAAACTCATGTGTTACAAATCTAGCAGTTAAACTGTAATACGATTAAATTGTGTGCTGACAGGTCCAACCATCACTAGTTAAACTTAGGAAATCTGCTTGATCCAGCTCATATTTTACTTTGGCTTTTATGGTTTCATACATCAGTGGAATGACTATTGTGGAGAAATACTTTTGACTAGGTATTGTATAGTTTGGAGCTAAATTCTTTAAAAGTTGGGTAAAACCTTTATCTTCAACAATACAGTATCGCTGCAAATCTAAATATATCATTTCTCGAATAAGCTTGGTAATAGCTTGAGCCTTAGGATTGTCAAGTTGACACAATTCTTTTCTTTGCAAAATCTCCTGCAGTAAGACCTGAAACAAATTCAACGAATTAAAAAAATTACTTAGCAAGTTGTAACTAACAATTGTCAGCGACGAATCTAAGTGGCGGATAGAGGTATGTATCGTTCCCCCCTCATTAGAACATTTATTATAATATTATAAGCTTAGGTAAGTTAAGTTAACTTTTTTCTATAGAAAAGATCATTTTTTGACAAGACATACCCCCATCCAGTCACAAAATCATGAATACTGAATAGTAAATGAATTTAGCTAGTTATCTAAGTTACCTGTGTCAATGCTCTTTGAAAAAAGGCAATTGTGTTATTAGACACACGTGAGCTTCCCTGTGTTTCATCTGTGGCAATGCTAATAATGATTTGCACTGATTCAGCAGAACTTGTTCTATCTGAGCATATTGTTTGAGTAGTGCAAAATTCTTTTATAGATTTTTCATTTGGACCTGGTAAAGATTCGTGGTTAACAGTTTTCTTCTGAGAAAGAATCATGCTATGTATATTGTAATGTGCTTTTTTCAGATGGTTTTGTAAATTTGTTGTTGACATGTTGTGTGCGTCTTTACTTCCTCTAGACAAAATCTTCTTGCAAAGTATGCAGATGGCTTTGCCAACATCTTCATCACTCACTTTAAAATAACTCCATAAGGGATTTTTACTTCGCGATGAGGTATCCATAATGTGCTAATGGATAACTTAAAGTTATAATAACAATTCTTAAAATTGAAACATAATGTTTAATTAGTTTATTACCTTTAATAATATTTATTAAAATAAACAATATTTGTATTTGAATTAAAAAAAATCAAAGTCATAAATAACCAATTAACCTATATTTGTAGATCAATGTGTTTCATTAAGTAACTTTACTTTCCATACACTATCGTGTTGTTTTTGGCTGCTCTTCACACAGCCTTGCCACCTCTAAAAGCCGTTGCTGGATTCAATTAATCTTCACAACTGTATTTCTCATTAAGCAGTCGTTATTTAGTCAAGAAGAAAAGAAAAAGAAGTATTTTGAATGTTCAACTATGTTTTATTCGGAAAACAGACGTCGTTTGAACGTTTAAAAGATGTCTTCCTCAGTCAAATGCCAGCTTAGTAATGTCCAAGTATACTGTAACATACCAAAAAATATTTTAAAGTAATTAAAGATTCTAACCTATAGCTTAGAATCTTAAAAAAGTTTAATGCTTAGAAACTTAAAAATTTCATTTTCTTCGGCAAAAAAAGCCCATGGCTTGGCCAAACTGAAGCTTTAGCAAAATTGTCGAAGCTTCGGTACATCCCTAATATAAATAGCAAACATATATGTTTATATCCATAATATGTATGCATAAAGCACATCTTGGTAACTTTTATTTCATCTGGAATAAAAGTTTGGAAGCTTTAATTCATTCTCTTTAATTTTAAGTCAAGCCTCATTCTACTCCACATTTTTCACTTGAGCAGTTGCTTTATTAATCATTTATTTCATCTTTTTTACAAGAACATCTCATTTAAGAACAAATGCCCTTTTATTATTCCAAGAAGCCAAAGTAAAAAGGGCCCTGTCTGATGTTAAGCTCTGTTATTCTCAGTTTACTTAATTTTGTCAGATTAATTAAACCGAGAATAACAAACTTGTTTACTTAATCTTATATCAGATGATAGGTTCTAAAGACTTTTGGTTAGTCTTCAACAATGTTATTAACTAAAGTAAGTCTAACATTTAATCTCTAATTCATGGGTCTTATCTTTTTAAAGAATAAAGCAGAGTTATTTGCAAAAAAATCTTACTCTAATATGACTCGTGAATATAATGGCCATACTCTTCCTGACAGTTAAACAGATTAACCTGTTGTTAAACATCGAAATCACTCTGGCTTCCAATGCTAAAGTTAATTCTCAATTAAACACTTCTACAGTTTGTGCTCCAGACAAGATCTCCATTATAGTCTTGAAAAAGTATTCTCAAGAACTCTTTTCATTTTTGCTAAACTTTTAAAAAGTGCTAAATAAGTGGTTCCGATTTTTCAAAACTCTAAAAAACACTTTGACCTCTTCAACTATCCTACGATTAGTCTTCACTCTGTTATTATTTTCTTTATATAAAGGTTTGAGGTTATTAAGTTATTTCTTTCTAAATTTAGTAGTTAAGTTATTTTTGAAGACCTACACTCTTCTTTACTTCAAGTAACTTTAAGTATCACAAGGTTCTGTCTTTGCTCCTGTATTGTTTGTTATCTACAATAATGATCTTCGTGAAATCTAAAGTGGCTCTATTTGTTGAAGATTCAACTTTAAACTCTTTTCTTGACAAAAAATCTTCACTTTTTAATTGATTAGAACAAGCAGTTAATTTTAAATCTGATCTCTCTTCTGTAACAGCGTAAGGTTTGCAGTGGCTTATAAATTTAAATTCTGGACTTGAAATCCACAATTTTTGTTAGACAACAAAACTCATTTCTTTATATTGATGAATAATAACCTTCTTACTCTCAGACGAAGTCTAAAACCACTTTGTAAATGTAATTAGACCTGCTTCATCTGCCAAGCTTGACCCACTCTCTGATTGTTTTAAGGTTAAATTTTTTTCTTTTTTTCTACAAATACAATCATGGTCAGTGCTCAAATGAGCTTTTATCTCTACAACGATAAACCAAAACTCATTCTTGCATTGCTTTTTATTCAACAAGTTGCAATCTTTTAATGTATCCGTCCCTATCAACCCCTGCTAAATCTTATAATTTTGCCTGGGCCGGGGCCAGTTATGCAAAAAGTCTTATTTTAAGCCAGAGATGGGGCCCCAGTCACTTACAGGGCCGGCTCAGACCATATGCGAGCAATGGGGCCTTGTGGGGCCTCGTGCCTAAAGGGGCAATGCTCTGTGAAAAGCTAGATAAAGAGGTATATATCTATCTCTAGCTTTCTAAAAAGGCCCTGCAGAACCCCATTAGGCAGGAATTTTTTTTTAAGTTTTCTATAGATGATTTAATAATCAAAATAAAAATAATAATGTGCATAATATATCTTTTTTGTGAAAAACATATTACAGCATGTACTTTTGCTCAATATAATAACTAGTGACACTATTGAGTGTTTATATATTATATTTTATTTATATATGTTTATATATTTTATATATTTAAAAGACAATTATATAAAAAAACACGATTTTACCCTCGCACATTAGTACTCTTCAACCACTCTCTTTTTTTTAGGTTTTCATTGAAGGCCTCGCAAACTAAACTCGCGTCGGGCCTCACGCTTGCTTGAGCTGGCACTGGTCACTTATTACCCCATGCCAAACCCTCAGTTGAATTAGCCGCACTCCTTTGCAGCATCAGGCTATAAATAGTCTATATATTTACTGAAGCTATCAGTAACAGTAGTTTAAAACAGATATTTTTTATACAATTGAGTAAATTGAACATTACAAAAAAGGAGTAAATTAAATATAAAGGATACAATTCCCTTTGAGTTGATGACAAACTTGTTAACTAAATATGTATGACGATCAACTAGATATCTCTTTAAAAAATAAAAAAATATATCATTAAACTAATTTAAAAAAGATATCATTAAACACATTTAATAGAAAAAAATTAATGTTAAAAAGTAAACTATTAACCTACATAAATAACATATAAAATAATTATAGCATATACACAAAAATATTTTTAAAATGTAAATAAAACTTACAGAATGTTTATCTGTTAGTAAATTAAAAATTTTGATCAACTTTGTGTTCATCTGATTTTTATTCTCCATTTTGGATTCTAATTCACAATCACATTATCTTGCAATTTCGCAATCTTTTTAACAAATAAATATTTAAATAAAATATCACAACATATATTTGCATCACACACACCAAGCATTCAAAATGTTTTTGTTTTTTCATTAAAAAAATAAATAAATAAATAAATAATCCAATCTATTAAGTTGCAGTCTTCTCCGTTTGAAATTTAATGCCAGCGCACAAAAAAACTGGCAGTTATTTCTAAGTTAGCCTATGCGATGTAAAAATTTCATTTTTTTCTGCTACTTAAATTAAAACAAAAATAGCGAAAAGAATGCTTCAAATAAATACTATATAAAACAATTTAAAAAAAACTGGTAAAAAAAAAGGCCAAGGCATTTCATAAAAGTTCAACAAATGAACAAAAAAGCTTTGTTGTAATTTAAAACAAAATGCTTTTATTTTTTTGGCATGCGCTTTTTTATGCGCTCACCAATGTTTTTGTGGGCGCGTGGGCGAGCACAAAAAGACTTGAGCACGAAAACGGTGGCTAAATGGGGAAGACTTAAGTTGCATTTTGTATTTTTTTTAAAATAGTATAATTTAACTAGTTTATACTATATATATATATATATATATATATATATATATATATATATACATATATATATATATATATATATATATATATATATATATATATATATATATATATATATATATATATATATATATATATATATATATATGCATATATATATATATGAAACACAGTGTAAAATAAAAAAAAAATTGTTAAGTGATTTTCTACTAATTTATAATTGCTCTGTTCTTTTAAGAACATTGAGCACTCTATTTTGTAGAATACATTTTTAAAATTGTTTAAACACACACACACACACACACACACACACACACACATATATATATACATATATATATATATATATATATATATATATATATATATATATATATATATATATATATATATATATATATATATATATATATATATATATATATATATATATATATATATATATATAAATTTATATATGTAAATATATATATTTCCAAATGTAGGCATTTTTTCACAAAAAAAAAACAATGTTTGCCATTAATAAAAAAAAAAGGTCTTTAATTTCACATTTAGGGGCCGCCTAAATACAGTCGACGCTGTCAAATACAGTCTACAATAGCCTGTGACTTTGGATGTGATGTGACTTTGCTGAATGACAAGTCAAGCAAAATTGAGTTTTGGTTGATGGTAGTGGTCAACCAAAATTCTGTTTCGGTATTGGTTTCGGCTGAAATTTTAATTTGATTTTTAATTTGAAATTTTAATTTAATTTTTAATTTTTAATTTGAACTGACATCAAAATTTTGGTTTTGGTACTTTTTATAAATTAAGTAAAAAGCAAAACTTCTGTTAAAATACATACCGAAAACAAAAAAATTGGTAAGATTTTAAATTTTTATCTAATTTAGAAAAATTGTTATTTTTGAGAATTTTCAGAAAATATTTTGAGAATTCTCACAAAATACCTCAAATAAATTTTGTTTGGCAGGAAAAACCTGCCAGTTGTTAACTTTCGCAATCAAATTATATTGCCAACGTATGTATTAAATAAGTGAAACATGTATAATCAATTCTAAGATAACACAAGTATAAAAAAACAACAAATGTAAAATTTTCTAATGAAATTAATTTTGACTAGCCAAAATGTTGGTATCAGTTTTGGTAAAATATTTTCAGAAATGTAGGTTTCGACTTTGACACTGAACTGGAATATCCGAAATTTTTTTTTTTTTCAGTTTTGGCTTTTTTTTGGTTTCGGTCGATCACTAGTTAATGGAACTAAAGATGAAAGCTTCTTTGAGCAAGGACCATGATAGTATTAGTAGATAAAAGAAAGAGATTTTACGACTTTGTTAAAGAAGCTAAAGCTTAGCAGGTAGAGTGGATCCAACTACGTTTAAAATGTATTTTTGGACCGTGTCTAGTTTTTTTGGAGTTAAAACTCACAAACCACTGCAAGCCCCAATAAGTTACAGAATCAAAATTAGATTTAAGATCGGCTGCCTGTTCTGAGCGAAGGAAAGTAAATGACTTCTTTATCAAGGTCAGTTGTCATTAAATAGAGTCACTTTAAATGTAAGATTGCCAGGAAGATCATTAATGTAGATAAGAAAAAAAACAAGACCAAAAAAAAACCTTGAAGTACCCCAGAAATTACTGGAAATGAAGAAGAGTTTTGGCCTTTGAGGATAACCTTAATAAAGCCGCTAGGATAAAATGACTTGATAATCTCAAAAACATTTTCAGATAAATCATATGAAGCAAGCTTATGGAAAAGCATGTCAAACTTTAATGAAAGCTTTAAATATGTCAAGAGAAATAATCCCAACCCAATATCCCAATATATATTATATATATATATATATATATATATATATATATATATATATATATATATATATATATATATATATATATATATATATATATATATATATATATATATATATATATATATATATATATATATATATATATATATATATATATATATATATATATATATATATATATATATATATATATATATATATATATATATATATATATTATATATATGTATATTATAGACAAGTACAATTAGCTCTTTTGAGCCAACAAAATACTTGTGGTTATTTGTTACACTTATTTACATTAATAATCTTCCGAATACCTTTTAAGCGGCTCTATTTTCTTAATAAACAACTATAGACTTCAGTTTTTACTAAAAGTTGTCACTTTTTGATTTCTTAGAACAGGCAACTGATCTTGAATGTAATCTGCCTTCTGTAGCAGCATGGGGCTAGCAAACCTCACTTCTGTAACACCAATGGGCTGGTAAAATGTAACCCGAACAAAAATTATTTGATCAATGCCAATAATTAACACAATATTATTGACATTCTTATATTGATGAATACCAATATATTTATTTAATCTTCTATTTTACACCATTTATACAATCTAGCATCTGCTAAGTTTGCCTTATTTTATTGTATTTGTCATTTTTTAACGATTTCAGAGAATGAAATCAGTGATTAGAAAAGAGGTTTAAAAGTTAAAATAAGGAAAATAATTTATATAAACAAAAAAAAATCTTATATAGAATCTTTAAATTTTGATTATGTTTTCAACTTTAAAACACTCTTAACGAAGATATATAATTTATCATACTAAAAAATAAACATTATTAATGTTTTTTTTTTTTTTTTCCAATGTCATTAAATGTTGTTTAATATTTTATTATATATATTAATTTAATATATATTAAAATAAATATTTAATAGTTAAATATTTATTTTTATTTAATGTCATTAAATATAAATAAAATTTAAAAAAGTAGAAATACCAATTAAAACTTGAAATTTTAGCAAATTTCTTAAAGTTTTAGAATAATTTGAATATAATTTTTTTAACTCAATTTTTAACTATACTTTTTATTGATGTTCACTTTAAATTACATAGTTATATTAAAACACATTGTACACCTTATACTAAATTAATAGCGGTCGTTTTCAGTCCTGTTTGTTTATCTGCGATTTCCTAAACGACAACGCCATCGGGTGCACATCAAAAGTATTTTTTACACCCTCAAAATTCGTATCACTAAAAATTTTTTATTCAGCGTTGGCAAAAATGTCTTTTTTCCAATTATGTTATACCCAAGGCCGGCGCGATAGGGGTGTGGGGGGGGGGGGTGACACCCCCTCCCCCATCAATGATTTTTAGTCGGCAAACTGGACCCTTAGTCGGCAAATCGGACCTTTTTAGACTAGTTAGTCGGCAAATGTCGACCCTTTCGATATAGGTTAGACAGTCGGCAAATGTCGTAATGACAGTCGGCAAATTTTGGAAAACGAGGACCTTTTTTTTTTTTAGTCGGCAAAAGTTGTATTGGCACCCCCCCCCCCACGTGACACCTACTCGCGCCGGCCCTGGTTATACCAAGGGCAAATCCACATGGTACGCAATGAGAGTACGCAATGAGAGTACGCGTGAATGGGAGTACGCGTGTGTCCCCACACACACGCGTACTCCCATCGCGCCGGTCTTATATTCAGTGTACAAATATTTTTTGACATCAAAAAATAGTTTTAAAAATATAGCAAATTTTCATTAGAAAAGCTTTTTTATGCTAAACATTATCTCATCAAGAATAGAAGTATTTACTGGTCGCCCTTAATATTCTTCTGTTTTTTTTGAAAGTATATATTGACGGTAAAACAACTATCTTTTTTAGGTATTGTTTTTTCTGCTGCTCTAAAAATTTCCTTTAACATTTCTTTGCAGTTTTCTCTTTTTTTTTTAAACAATTAACAGGTCTTATTACAATATTTTACTTCATGTTAATCTAAACTTTTTTTGAGCCCATTCGTTTGAAAGAGCCCATGAACAGCACAGCCTAGAGACACATTAAAACCATTTTCTCTTATTGATAAATATAAAACTTTTGCTTTTGAATCAATTGTTTGCGGAACCTCAACACTAAACGTTAGCAAAGCGTCATGTCTCTTAACCCATTATATTTCGCAAAGTGAAAGCAGTTGTGAATTTAGCAGGAGGTCCTTCATGATAAAAATTTATTTTGCAGAAGCATTGAAAAAATCAAACACTTTGCCAATAATACTCAAAAAATTGTGATATTTAAACAATAACTTTTTAAATCTAAACAGTTATACGATTTATGGGGTTGCGGAAAAAAAATCTAAATATCTTCTTCCCCCCCCCCCCCCACCTTTCATTACTTGATGGTCTGGATCCACCCCTGTAATATATACATATATATATATATATATATATATATATATATATATATATATATATATATATATATATATATATATATATATATATATTATATATATATATATATATATATATATATATATGACTTTGGGATAAGTAGTCCAGGTAGTATGCAGTAAAACTCAAAAACCGCTGGTTGTGGGAAAATTTTTATATAAAGCTGAAACTTTGCCCAGTGATCACGTAAAATTAATGCCCCATGATTCTTCTATTGCTCCATTCGCAATAAGAAAATTCCTTGTTACTCATTTC